TTTCACTTTGAAGAGACCCAGAGAAATAAAACGGTAGACAAAACTGACATTTTCGCTCCCATTTGCCGATGTCGGGTCGTCTAAATCTCGGTTCAACCATGATTGACGATTTTTTTCAATGGAAATTTTAACAGAAGGGCATGTTTGATAATTTTTTCAAAGTACAGGGGCATGTTTGATGTAAAAAATAATAGAGAGGCATGTTTGATAAAACGTCATAATAGAGGGGCATATTATACCTATAACCCTAATTGTAATTGTATCAAAACGAATCAATTGAAATCCCCCAGATATAATTGTTGTATCTAAAATTTGTGCTGCAAAATGGATCAATTTGGCCAAATGATTTCAAAACGAAAGAATTGAGTTAAATTGATCAATTAGAATTTCTCATCCAAACGACTTGCTTTTATTGGGTGTTTGGGAAGGGGGGAAATCTACCGAGGTTGACAATGGTGTAAAAAATCCAAGAATGAGTCTCTATGTCGAATTTTTTTCCAGAAATAGAACCATTAGAAAAATAATTAAAAAATAGCACCCAGCTCACACAAATTCCAAAAATAGCACCATTTTTAAAAAATCACAGCTTGAGACTGATGGATTCACACACACCGCATTACCGTCAATGGGCAGATGGGTTAGGATAGCGATATCCTTTTGTGTGATGATGCACTCTCCTTCGCGAAAGTTGAAGCAATGTGTCTCTTTTCGCCATCTCTCGACCAATGCGGTGATGAGTCGACGGTCGATTTTTATACCTGAAAAATGCCTAATCGACTCCAACCGTGTCTTTTTGAGAAAGGGCAAGATAACGCCGTTCCATGGGAGCACATTGGTCGTACCCCTGTAGCGAATTATTTGGTGTGCCTCCTAGCAAAAAGTTTAACGTTTACCATACGTTTATGATATACTAGTATTAAGGTTTTTTATGAATAAATAAATTAAAATAAATGATTTAACTTTCACCATATTTTTATTAAAAATCTATTATAACAAACAATTTAAAATAATTCAAGGTTGTTTCCAAGATATATACATAATTTCATAAAACAAACATACTCAATTAATTAAAATAAATAACAATTTAAATGAATAATAATTTAAACAGATACATATTCGAATATTTTAAATTAATTTTGTACACATACACATAAATCCATGACATTATTGTGTAAATCGTATTGGTTGTTTTAAATAATTTAATCGAATACAATGCAATATTTGTTAGACTCTTAGAAGAGGTATACATTTTCTTAGAAATGCGATATTTTTTTTTACAGAAAAAGGGGGGATCCGAGGATCGCTTAAAACTCAATTTTCCCAGGGAATGGGAGGATCATGATAATCGCTTAAAATCTCATTTCTTTAGGCATGCATCTCTTTATAAAGAGTCTAAGTAAGTGGTGTTATGTATTCAATTAAATTATTGAAAACAACCATTCAACCAATACGATTAAAAATGATTAAATTTATTTTATATTCCACTAAGTACGTTAACAAAATAAAAGAATGACAAATGATGAAGAATAGGGGTGGGCAACGGGTACCCAGTCCCATTTGGAGAGCAATCTCCATCCCATGTCCCAAACCCGTACGGGTTAACGAGTACCCATTACCCATACAGGACGGATAACGGGTACCCATACTACCCGTTAATATGTACATCTTTGTTGCTTAGACTTTCTCTTTCGCTTTAGATTTTCGATGTCTGCTCTGTATTCATCATGCAATGCAGCTGCATGGTTCACTTACCTGGAAGGCTTATCGAAATTGGTGTTCACCTTCAGTTGCTACGTACGACATGGTTCAATTAAAAAAACAATCTACACTTAACTTTGTTTTTATTTCTTGAAACTTACGTAAATGTTTATTTGCTCAAATTTACATAAAGCATGAGCAGAAGCACTTACGTTTCACTTGGGTACAGAGACGGAATGGTGAAAGAATTTTCGATTAGTATTAGTTGAAGAACTCACCATCGGGAACTTAAATTTTGGACTATTGGGTATAACGGGTATCCCGCGGGTACCCAAAGTAGCGATTGTTGATCCCAAGTCCCCTCCCGTTAAAAAAATTACGGGTATTTGGGTACCCTTAACCCTCAAAAAACGGGACGGGTACGAGTATACCGAAATACCCGTTTCCCGTTGCCCACCTCTAATGAAGAATTGTATGTACATCGTGATCGTTCCAAACATCCACTGAACGATGGTTGGGTTGGTCATACGACACGGTTGGATCACTAGTCCTTGATCAACATAACATCGTTGGTTGCATATATCTACATCGTCCCCAACCTACGAGAGAATGACAACAAGGTTAGTACATAGATTAATTAAACAGGTTATAAGAACAACAAAAAATTGGTAAAATGAGTACGTACCGCTTGAAATTCATCATAATAAAATCCCTTTTCTTGGAACCACTCGTCCATTTTTTCGCGAAAGTCAGACAGAGATTCAATGGGTTTTGAAAGAAAAACCAAAGAAATGTTTTCTGATGGCAGATCGGACTTAGCTGCAACCAACAGACCACTATTTCCTAAGCTTTTTGAGGGAGGGGGATGGATAGAGAGGTAATTTTAGAGAGAGAAGAATGGGTTGTGGTGTGAATAAATGGAGAGGGGGTAGGGGGTTTTTATAGCACTCAGACCGCACCGTATAGGGGCGGTTTAGTAATTTCACCCTCACCAAAACCGCATCTCAAGGGCGCGGTTCACGCAACCCAAGGAGCAAACTGTTCCCCTTACGCGCAGTTCTGGATCCCTGACGCGGATCGCAGTGCTAGCGCGCGATCGACCTTTCCATCGCCGCATAATCCAACGGGCCTTGGGACCGCGTGCGTGTTGACCGCATTTTCCCCACGCGGTTTTTGGGCTGCCCTATCAAGAACCGCATCGTACCCATGCGGTTTCCTTGTAAACTGGCGCTCTGTCGTGCGAGTTTTAAAATTTTTTGCTATTTTTGGAATTTGTGTGGGTTGGGTGCTATTTTTGTAATTTTTTTAAAATGGTGCTATTTTTGGAAAAAAACCCCTCTATGTCGCCAAAGTAGGGAAACATATCAACCTCTGTTACAGGTGAGCTCTGATGAACTAATTTGATTTGCATGCACCGTAGGGGTGGGCATTCGGTCGGTTCGATTTTGACCGAACCAAAATTATGAATACTGGGTCCCCGAATTCTCCCAAATCTCAAACTGAATTCGAACCGAATTATAATTCGGTTCGGTCAGTTTAAACAGAATTATAGTTTGGTTCTGTTCGGTTTTGCATACAAAATCGAATTTGAGAGGCTACTTGTATCTTCTCAATTTTACATTATTTTTCACCCCTAATATAAACAATAAATATGCAATTATATGCATCATCAATGATAAAATCAAACTTTTCAACAAATAAGTCATAAAATATTTCAAATATTTAAGTATAAAAACAACTACAAACATAAAAAAATCACCATTTAGAGCTTCCAATTATAGTATTTCGGTTTTTCGATCGGAATTTCAGAATTTCGGTTCGGTTGAAAGAACCTTTGTTTCCGAAATATCCATATTTTTCTTCCGAATTCCGAACCGAATAGCATTATTTCGATTTCGGTTCGGTTCGGGTTTACCGCACCGATTGCCCACCCCTAATGGACCGGTTGGTTTCACTTTGCTTAGTTTGGTGTGAATAGTGTAGAAAATATGTTGATATTGATTTTATTAGATTGGTAAATTTATAGACAAGGTTTGTTCACAAAAATATTCCAAAAACTAATGTTTAGTAGGAGTAAAAAAAGGTGTATGGATCATTGGATCAACAATCCAATATACCGTAGCCAAGTTCGATATGAATATAGATAAAGCTAGAATTAATTAGACTAGAGCAATAAAGTGTTAAACAATCGAACTGCATAAAGAAAAGTAGAGCACACAATTTAACGTGGTTCAGTCTCTTAGAGAAACTTTACTCCATGTTGATTAGCTTGGTGTTCTGTCTTATTCAATTCACCTGCTATAAACTCTAATTAAGGGATATATTGTCGGCCATGCACAAGGCCTAACCACAAGGCGTGTGCATCTAATCATCGTCTAGTCCTCACAATATAACATATATACAATTCGGTCCCTTGACATAACGTAACTATATGTATAATATACCTTTCAATATATTCAATACCCCGTCAAACTGATGGTGCTTGGCGTAACATCAATTTTTGTGACAGAAACCTAACCAATGCCGACTCATGGAGAATGCTTTAGTAAGAAGATCTGCTGGTTACTTGTCTGTCGTAAGATACTGCAACTGAAGCCATCCATATGATACTAATCGACGAATGTAATGAATATGTAGAGCTCAACTATTCACCTCCAAACAGACCAATTGTCATCCCTTAAAAAACCCAATGCACTTATGCACAGGAAGAAGGTGTAGGTATACATTATACCCATGTATAGTTTGTCCTGAGTGTGGTAGGTCTAAACTTTTATATAACGTGGTTGTAATAGGTTCATATTGATTGTACTTGAGTCATGTACTCTTGATCGTATTTAATAAAAATAAAACCTACTCTTGATTAAAGAACGATACGAATCCAATCAAAATTGTCATTCACTACCTAATGATTTCGATGATAAACATACAAATTTTCTTATTCTTACTATACAACAAAATTTTGCTGGATAGGATTTAGATATATTATGTAATGTTATCAGTGATCACTTATCGGATGTTGTTAATTGTGACTTACGTGGTGCAGGTCCCTATCCCTGTCCCTGTCTCTAATTTTGATTTCTAATTAGGGAAGACGGAAGACCTGAGCGTCACTGTCAGCAAGGAGGTGGAAATTGTTAAATTCAGATTAATCATGAAAAAAAACCCCTTATTAATTCGAGATACCAAAATCAATTAAATACTAGCTACGTAAATTATGTGGACATAATTATCAATCATTATTGGATTATTATAGAGTAAATATAAATAACTCCTTCACTGCCTTACTCCATCACTCTCACGGAACGGAACTAGCCCGCCAGCAGGCAGCTACAAACCCACACACACCCGACCCGTATCTCTGTCTCTCTTCTCCTTCTTCCTTCAACCTTGTTCTGCTGAATCTCCAGAGAGGGGAAAGCTTTTGCCTTCTTCTCGTCCTCCCAAGATTCAAGATCCACTTTTTTCTCGGAAACCAATCGCGAGCCAACCAAAACAATCACCGGAAAAGGGACAAATTCCCTTTTCAATTCTCTAATTCTCCTCGAGGAGCTCCTCCTCGCCTCTCGAATACGTTTTGAGGTACCGTGAATTGTTCGCACTTTCTATCTCTCTCGCAATCGGATTTTCTTGGCTTGTTGATTGCTGCTTTCCCCTGTTTTCAACGCGTTCCTTTCGGCGGTTCGATGCCAATGCGAGCTACGCCCGTAGGTAGTTCGCAGTCGGAGAGGGATTTTCTTCCCTTTCGGTGCTTAATCTTGTTAACGCTTGCCGTTTTCCGTCGTCTGTTTGGTTGCTGAGGAAATTTTGTCTGGTTTAACGTTTTTTCCCCATCTCAAACTGGTGATTTCGATTTGGTTGCCCCCTCTCTCTTTAGCTCCATAGAACTTTCCACTCCACTCACTTTGTCTCAGCGACCAAACACGAGTGAAGTGATTTGGGAGAAGGCAGAATTCTTTATGTAAAGCTCTCGTACTCTGTTATTGAGCATTTGAGTGTGTGAAGAGACGTACTTTGAATTTCGACTTCAGAACTTGTTTATCTGATATAAAACTACTTGTAGCTCAATCATTTCTCATTTGAGAAGTGAATCAATTCAAACCTACTCTTAAGGTTTTCAATCTTTTTCAGCTTAGTTCATACGGCAGAGATTGCTCCCTGACCACCTGTTGGGTCAAATTTGAGCTGTAATTCCTGAAAGTAACTTGAGGGGGGGCTGTTTGTGGGGGAGAGTCTTATAAAGGTTAAACGGGCAAATCACGCAGCCTGAAACATGTTTAGGTTGACGCCTTGAAGGTGAAGAGTAGTGTAAAAAAAGCAAAACTTTAGCTACTTTCTTGGATTTTACTTCCAGTGGAATATCTATCTTTTTCTATGTCCTTTGTTTGGGTCAACTGCCCTTTTCTCTGTTAATCTCTGAAACATGACTCTGTTGACCTTAAAGTTTACAACTTGAACTTGTGGTTATACTAACTCCTCTCATAAGATTATTTATATTTCATAGGCTGCATAAACATGAGCTGATGGAAATAGCTTAGTTTGCTGTAGGTAGCAGGTTATGGCATGATTATGGGTGTTCTAATATAGTGCAAGTTCTGATTGTGTGATACGCCGATACGCTGTTCTTTCTACTTGTTGATTTCTTCCCTACTGTAGCTATGAGCTTGATAGTGGGAACTATTTTCTTCCTTTTGGTATACCCGAATGCGCTGCGACTAAAAGTAGGCATATTTGTATCAAGCATCTTAAACCAGAGGAAAACTGAGAAGTGTTTGTGTGTGTAAAGTATTTTAGCAAAAATCGGCTGTGCCACAAGATTGAGGGAGATGTTTCACTGATTATCAATCTGGTTCTCTGTTTCACAAGAACAGAGTTTCATTCTGTTATTACAAAGCAAGCTGTGGCACTGTTATCATTGCTGTCTTTCTCTTACTCAGGTCTTTGTAACCTTTTCTTTTGTCGGAGAAGATGGTTGCCTTTGGGAAAAAGCTAAAGGAAAGGCAAATTCAAGAATGGCAAGGGTACGTTGCAGTCACATACTGTCACATTAATGCAGTTTGTTTGGTTGCAATGAACTTAACGAGAAATTATATACCAGAAATTTCTCGTTCTAGTGTAAAAAAATGAAGGAGTCGTCTCTTTCTTTTGATGACTTTGATATCTGTAGTCACTCTCTTTTATGGAAACAGTTTGCAAGAGCGATGGTATAATTCTGTTATGTCCTTAAAATTTTTGTCATCTATTTATTGAACTTGTAAGGTTTCCAATTTATTTCTCATTGAAATTCACAAGGAAGTACCATTTACTTTGTCTTTACAGTTTCCTTATGGTATTTGTTTTTTCCTGTTCAGATACTATATCAACTACAAATTGATGAAAAAGAGAGTGAAACAATATGGCCACCAAATTGAAGTTGGAACACTAGATCGGCGCCATGTTCTCAAGGACTTCTCGAGAATGCTTGATTGTCAGGTACTTATTAATGCATGAGAGTCTGATTATGCTTTTTGTAATTGGCTATCTCTAGAAAATTTAGATCACGTATTCACTGATCTACCAATTACTTCAGATTGAAAAGATAGTCCTGTTTCTGTTGGAGCAACAAGGGCTACTTGCAGGAAGGATAGCCAAGCTTAACGAAGATCAGGATGCTCTACAACAAGAGCCAGATATAGCGAAGCTATCCCAGTTGCGGGAAAATTATAGGGATGTCGGGAGGGACCTTTTGAAGCTTCTTTTCTTTGTTGAAATAAATGCTGTGGGCCTGCGTAAGATCCTGAAGAAGTTTGATAAACGTTTCGGTTATCGATTCACCGATTACTATGTGAAGACTCGAGCTAATCATCCTTATTCCCAGCTTCAGCAAGTGTTCAAGCATGTGGTAAAATGCCACTCATACGCATTATCATATGATTCTGCCAGAGATTGATTACAGATCCCAAAGTGGGACTGTCCTTCCCATCCAAGTCTTGTTTAACTTATTACTGGAAGTGCAGGGTCTTGGGGCAGTTGTTGGAGCCATATCCCGCAATCTTCATGAACTTCAGGAGCATCAAGGAAGTTTCTTATCCATTTATGATCAATCTGTGCTTCCGCTTGAGGTTATTGTTTGCTCCTTTCTGTTTAAGTTTTGAGTTTGTGATATCAAGTTGTGACAGCACTCATATGGCCAAAGACTGATAGTAAACATATCTCGTAACAGGACTCTGTTGTTGATGCAATGAAAGCGGCAGTTGACCGGTTAAGCCACTCAACCAACTTCTTGAACTTCTTGGCACAACATGCACTTATTATGCAAGAGGAGCTTCCAACTCCCATTGAGGAGAGCATTGATGATAAGAGATACCATTTTATGTCTCTTATCCTGAATCTGGCAAACACATTCCTTTATATGATAAACACCTATATTATAGTACCCACAGCAGATGACTACTCCATGAGCCTTGGTGCACCGGCAACAGTTTGTGGTATTGTGATTGGATCAATGGCTGTTGCTCAAGTCTTCTCTTCAGTATACTTCAGTGCATGGTCCAATAGATCATACTTCAGGCCTCTTGTGTTCAGCAGCATCGCTCTTCTGATCGGAAATGTCATGTATGCAATGGCTTATGATTTCAAGTCAATCACAATACTTCTGTTAGGCCGGCTTTTCTGTGGGTAAGTAATTATTCAACTCCTGAATTAATATCTGCTTATTGTGTACCAAGAAAAAAAAATCAGGTCTATTCTCCTACTGTTTTTTTATTTTATTTTTGTAATTGTTAAACTATCAGTAAGTTAATATGGCTCAGAGGGCTCTGAAGCAAAAAGGTTGGCAACTGCAATATGATATTATGAAGTCACTTAAATCTCATTAGTGGACTGATGTTAGCGCGCCAACTGGTTCATTATTGCTTTGATGTTAAAGTAAATTACTCCTTGTACTGCAGGTTGGGTTCTGCTAGAGCTGTGAACCGGCGTTATATCAGTGATTGTGTTCCACTTAAGCTACGTATGCAAGCTTCAGCAGGTTTTGTTAGTGCAAGTGCTCTCGGGATGGCCTGTGGCCCGGCTCTTGCTGGCTTACTTCAAACGGAGTTTAAAATTTACAAGTTCACATTCAATCAGAACACTTTACCAGGCTGGGTTATGGCTGTGGGTTGGTTCTTTTATATGATATGGCTGTGCATCTCATTTAGAGAGCCTTTTCGCCCGACACAAGATACCAATGTAGCTCCACAAACCAGTGATGGTAAACTTCTCCCCATTCCATGTATTGCATACATAATGTCATGTTTGTTTCATCTCAATCAATAATAATCTACTGCCTGCCATTGCTTGGGTCTGTTATCTTGGTAGAAGGCCACTACTTGTTTTCTGCATCTCTTACAGATAAAAAAGCTTATAACCAATGTTACACAACTCTGTAAGTTCAGATTGTGAGTCTAAATTATTAATTAAACATGGTGTACCTAGAAGCTTGTGTGAGGGAACTTCATGCTTAAAGAAACTTTGTGGAAGGATAAGTTATATGATATGATTTTCTATATATCCATAACTTGATAATTGAACTTGCTTTTTACAGTGAGTCTATTTGTCATAAGATATTCCATTTTAATTTAAATTTCAACTAATTCTAGTTCTTAAATTCTAGTCTATTGTTATATTAGATGGATTTTTAAATGAAAATGCAAAAGGAAAATGATGACAGTTATGCCTTTTACTACACCAGGCATAAATTCTGCCAAACCATTTGGTTTAGCTTCAGCTTAAGTAACTCATAAGTTGGTATAGATAGCCCCATATTTGGTTTAGCTTCAGCTTAAGTCACTCATAAGTGGGATAGACATCCCCATTATGCTTATACTCTGGTCCTTAGACTCTGCATGAGATTTACAGTTCAGTTGCTCAATCACCCGAATACTCGCTCTTCGATAATAATTTTGGTCTCGTGTTGAAAGCAGAACCAACGAGAAATGATGCTCTTGAGAAAGGTCTTCAGCAGCCATTGCTACCAAGTACAGAAGCCAATCAAGATGATGAAGATTGTGGGAGTGATGATGAATCTGAGGGATCCAGAGGACCAGCTAACTCACTTCGCTCTGCTTATAGGCTATTGACACCTTCTGTAAAGGTAAGATGAAGATGTATCTCTATACTTTATGAAACGTACAAGTGTTTTTGAAAAACTTTATTTTTTACCATTTGATAACTCTCTTGCCTGAATTGCAAAAACAGGTTCAGTTGTTAATATATTTCATGCTCAAGTACGCCATGGAGATTTTATTATCAGAGTCTAGTGTCGTCACAACGTACTACTTCGGTTGGTCTACTAGCTCAGTGGCAATATTTCTCGCCTGCTTAGGCCTCACTGTCCTTCCAGTGAATATCATTGTTGGAAGCTATATCAGTAACATGTTTGAAGATAGGTATAAGCCCATTATCTCTTCTGTCTTCCGGGATTCAATTCTCTCTTGGTAGCAGCTCGAAATCATCATACTGATTACCATTTCTTCGTCGTTGATCTCATTGGCAGGCAAATCTTACTAGCATCAGAAATCATGGTCTGTGTAGGCATACTCCTAAGCTTCCACATCTTAGTTCCATACACCGTGCCACAATACGTGTGCTCAGGACTCATTATGTTTGTCTCGGCCGAAGTACTAGAAGGTAAAGTATTCTACTCCCTTGCAATGCGAATTCAGTACTGTCATTATGAATTGAGCTTACTTGGTAACTTACTGCATACCTACTTCCAGGCGTCAACTTATCGTTGCTCTCGCGAGTCATGTCATCGAGGCTCTCACAGGGAACATACAACGGTGGACTACTCTCGACGGAGGCAGGTACCTTAGCTCGTGTGGTGGCAGATGTAACAATCACAATGGCGGGGTACTTGGGGCAGAAAACGCTGTTGAATGTGACTCTTCTACCTTCCCTTGTCATTTGCATAACCTCCATCCTCGCCACATGCTTCACCTACAACTCGCTATATTGATTCTGTAGACTTATATCTATCACATTAGTAAAGCGAAGCAGCCAAATTTTGGCGTTTCTTCGCTTATAGCTATGTGATTAGGTAGTCTTCTTCTCCTTCTTATTCTTCTGTGTCGGATCAGTTCTCCTGTATATTTGGTAGAAACCCAGCTCCATTAAATTCTCCATTGTTCTTAATAAAAATGTAGACGCACACCACACCAACCTAGCTAGCCTAGCAGCATGTCCATTAAAGCGTCTGAGAACTGAGCCAGCTGCTTGCTGCCTCTAGCATAAGTAGATGGATTTATTTACTGTGAATTTGTTTTCTTCAGAATTCCTCAACAATCATATCCTTGCCCTTGGCCCCCAATGCTTCAATGCATATCATCTCCACTCCATGGTTACAAATAATTTGCGATTTTTTACTGCTCCTTCGCTGGTTCCCAGAGGTTCGTGTCATAATTTACCGCATGTGGATGGTCATAAATAACTAGATACGAAGCAAACAAGAAACGAGATCCGCACGCCGTAAATTTTGACACGAAACTAGAAAACCAACGATACCACTTTAAATTTGGAGACAAAGGGAGGTGCAGACTTGGTTATACCTTGACCAGTTTGATGAGGGGATTAGTATCTATTACTATGTCTCTTAGATAGGAAGAGTGTCCCTCTAAGCAATCCTAACACTCACCCATATATCCATCCACCTCCCTTTCTTTACAACTTCCAACCAATCTTCCCTTCAACTTAGGGACATGGGAAACGAGAACAAACCCATATAATCAACATGAACAAATTTTTAGGCTAGTTTGCTTCCTCTGCCTATTCTCCTCCTAATCATCTTGTTTGAAGTTTAGTCTCAAAAAGAAGAATGAAACGAAAGTTAACAACATTTATAAGTGTTTCACCCGTACCATACCGGTGGTTTGACCATAAAAATCTTATATCGGAGACTAAATCGATAGACGGTTTTAACAGGATGAAACGATCGAACCACGGTTCCAGTATAAAATACCCTATTGCTGACTTTTCTCCTACAACCTCCTGCATGATTTCGCAATGCATATCTACAAACAAATTTTTGTTTTGGACCCATTTCCCCAATCATTTTTAAGCAAGGTTGTCAACCCGCTGGCTGACCTGGACCCGGTCGAGCTAGTGGGTCCAGGGTTAATGGGTCAACCGTTTTAGCCCGGTTTGGCCCGAAAATATGAAAAGAGTCATTATATTGTACTTATCCTGATAAATTATATCAAATCTTATCTAACATATGAGTTATAATATATAATATGACACCAAAATAACATATCGTACTTAGATCCAACATATAGTGAAAATTCACACACACTTATATAACATCAATATTCAAATGTTCAACTTACGATTCCAAAGATTGAGTTAGGCGAAAACAAAAATAGAAAAATAGGCGCATTTCGCAAACTAAAGAAAAAAATGACATAATTTGACCTCAAACCCGATACCTTGTAGCAGTCGACCCGACTGGTGCGTGCGGCCCATTTTTCTCACCGGGTCAGGGTCAAAATCGGTCGACCCACGGGTTGACAACCTTGTTGATATAGTTCAAGTCTGCCCATCTGGTTTTCCAATTTCGCTCCCTCTTTCCTGCCCAAAACTCAATGAAGTTCAAAGCAAAAACACCACATGAAATATAGTCGTTTTGTCTGAATCCAAGATCGAAATTCCAAGGGAACTCTTCAAAGTTGTATATCCTGTTAACCTCCCACCCAACGAAAGCCTGGACATATTTCACCAACTCCCTTCCTATGGTCTGATAGCGTGAATCATCCCAATCATGTCGCAGACTATTCATGAATTGAAACTCCTTGTGCAGTAAATCAATGCAGTACACGACATAGTGATTGCCAACACAGAGGGGAAAGAACCACTGCACGACAAGTGAATACATAACATGTTAATAATATTCATTCATTTGTTAATAACAAGCGTGGTATATATTAAAAATCAAAGTTACTAATAGCTATTAATAATCTCATCTTTTGTACGTTGTTACTAATAACTATTAATAATGGCGATTAATTTGTTAATAATGGCGGATAACTTGTTAATAATAGTCGAAAACCATATTAATAACTGTTGATGCCACAATACTCTCTCTCTTCCACGTGCCTCCACCACGATTCCACGCCGAGCGCTTGAACCCTGCAGGACGGGCGCCTAGAGGGCTAGACCCGTCCGTTAGCACTTGACACGCTAAAACACAACACCTAACAATGGCCAAGTGTAACCAATGAAAGGGACTGCAGTATAGGCAAGTTTAATTATCAACCCGGGGTCTAGATCTACTGCTTACTCCGTGATTCTCTATTATCTAGCAAACTAAGTCGAGTGATTGTTGTGAAAAGTAAAAGCAACAAGAAAGCAGTAAATTGTTCGGGTTTCTAAAGCAGGCAAGAGTCACTCGGGATTGAGTCCCCCTAGCCCCTTAGTTAGGTTCAATTGCAATTCCCTGGGTTGATTTACTGTTGATTAGACTGCGGAAGATCCGACAGTAGCTTGGAATCTCTTAAGCTGACCAAGCCCTCTCAGTCTAACTACCCGGCAGACGACTAGTCTTCACCGGGATAGAAAGCTGAGGCTATGAACACAGAACTTCACTACTGGCGCCATGAACACCAGTACAAAGCAGTAAACTGGCTAACTCTCGTATAGCCAATCCCCTACTATCGAATGAAGAGGCTCTAACAACCTAATCAGATTCTATCTATCTCAGGTTGCAGCAGAAATTGAGAAAAGCTGATCAGACTCAAATCAATTCAATAAACATGCATCATTCGATTAAAATCAAACAGTAATATCATCCCAAGTCATTACAATCAAATCCCTAACACAAGGAACTAGGGTTCTTCATACCCAAGTGAGAGAAGGGTTCTACTCCATAGAGAGAGAAGAGAAAACAAGAATCGGATTAGTCATACTCATAACGATGAGGATAATCTGCTCCGGGACGATGATTTTCACTCCTATGACGATCTCCAAGCTCGATTCGATGAAATCCAGCTCTAAGACAGCTTCTAGGATGTGTTCTTCGCACTTTCTCTCTCTAGGGCTCTGTTTTTGCTCTGAAAACACGATTCTCCCACTTTTGGCTCGAATTAGGCTTTAAAACCGGTTTCCCCGAGTTGCACGGCCAGGTGCACGGCCGTGCACAACACCATTCTGGCCGTGCACCCTGAAACGCGCCGTTTCATTTAGTTCGAACTCAGACATCTTGCACGGCCAGGTGCACGGCCGTGCAAGCTTCAGGGCCTGCCCGTGCATGGCCTCGGCATGAGGCGCACGGCCATATGGCTCAAGTGCACGGCCGTGCAGCCTCCCTGGTCTGCCCGTGCACTCCCCAAACAGCTCGCCATTCGTCCGTTCTTCGTCCAATCGACCCCAGACTCGCTCCTAAGCCTTCATTCACGTACTAGGACCTGAAATATCACAAACAAGCACAACCTAGCGTGAAATCGGCCTAAAACACGAGAATCAAAACCTCAAACGGTGTAAGAACGGGGGTAAAAACATGTGTAAATGACGGTCTATCAAACTCCCCCACACTTAACCGTTTGCTTGTCCCCAAGCAAACCAAGTCAGACACTAGGTAAGCTTACAAATTTCAATCAACCAACATTGGGGACAAGTCATAAAGGCACAGAACACGTGAATCGCACTGGTTTTCAAACATTAATACATGCACAACCTCAATAACAACCTGGACAACCACCACAAAGGACATTCGAGTGCAGCAAATCGAGTAAAGGAAGAGTCTCCCGTCTGTTCACTGGCCAACCTAGACTTGATTCAACCACTTACTCAAAACAGTCAACTCATGCATCCAACTCAAGACATCAGAATAGAGACCGAGCAATCTAGGTCCTCACCGGGGTACAAGAGCATATAGAAAATGGAAATGAATCACTCACTCTCGACCAGTGGGGCCAGGACAATTCGATGCGAAAGATGCGCATGCTATTTCTCTCAATACCTATCATCTCTTCACCATGATGGCAGCCTCTAAATGCTAGAGTTCACATATGGGGTGTCACCACTAACTAATCAGGAGGTCTTAGACACAGGTTCAAATGACTGGCTAGGGTCTTGGACATGGGGAAAAGGCCTTTTAGGTGGTGGAAGTATTCATAGCAAAAGGTTCCACATTTTCCAAACACACAAACACAGTCAAACAACCCGGTATTTTCTTTCTGCTATTCTGCATTACTCAATATCTTAAGATCACAAGAGCGAAGGAGGCATAAACATCAGCATTTCCAAGCCAGACTGCTAAGAAACACTACTTACTGGGCATTATTCAGATTTTTAGTAGTGGCTCTCTTTTGCTTTCAATTTTTTTTCTTTGTTTTTCTTTCATTTTTCTTTTCATTCCTAAAGAGAGCCACCACTTCTGCATAAATTTCAAACACTTGCCCAACTTTTAAGCACTACCTCCAACACTCACATAGACTTAAGCAGAAACAACAGAGAATATATAAAAACCACTCTGTGGAACCTTCTAAAAGATGCAACAAGGGTGATTTTTTCCATTATAGACCAAAAGAAAGGATAACACACGGCTCAAAGGGGCTGACTAGGGGATATGACACATCAGGACAGTCAGTTTTGGGCGTGGGCTAATCCTATGCCCCCATCATCTTAGCTAGTGACAACGTGAATGCTACACATCATGGAAGAGGGATCTATCGCACAAGAAAGAAACGAGCAGGCTCAAATCTCACATGGCTACCTATATGCTCTATCTCACATTCTGATACCCTGAACTAGATGCATAAATGACTGTCAAGAACAAGTAATCAGATCAAGTCAGATCAAGTCACAGTTGGCAAGCAAACAGTTGAAAAACTGAACCCCTACATCGTTCTACTGCACATCTCAGTCCTCATCATAGGTTGTCCTAGTCGCAAACAAGTTGTCATGCATTAATCCGAAAACCAATCAATTCACCCATCAAAACACAGTGCCAATATGATCAAACAGCAGTACTTGGAGCCCTCAAATCGTAAGATTCGGACAGCGGACTAGGCTCCAAGCACCATCATACATATTCCAACCGATACAAAGCATCCCCCCACACTTAAGCACGACATTGCCCTCAATGGAGGAGAGGGAAAGATAAGGGGAACGATGTTACCGGGTAAGAACACTGCTGGGGGACTGGAAGTGGACCAGTCAGCGAGAAAACGAACGGGAGAGTGGACAATGCTGCACAAATCGAACATCAGAAACACTAGCACACTGGCGTTAGGGATAAGTGTTAGCCCAGACGGCTACATCAAACCACAAATGAAAAACCAAAAACAAAAACAACCGACACGAAGTTCA